TCTCACCTGGAGACCCGCGGTCATCGTAGCCCCCGAAAAGAGCGCCGATATCTCATCTAGGCCGTAGTCGTCGAGCGCCATCTGGGAGCACCCCGGAATGTCACCCCATTGGCAATAAATGAGTGGGAGCACAAACGAAAGGCAGAGGGGCGGAGAGGGAATGGCGAGGGGGAGGGACGAAGCGCGAGAAACAAACACGCGTGAGGCGACGCGAGGGATCAATCTTCCATAATGCTCGCGCAGATGGCGAAATCAGAACGAGGCACAGCGAGGTAAGTTGACTTCATAATTGGCGGTGCATCCTGTCGAAGAATGTAGTCATCGTGCCGCATGTAAAACAGTAAAAGAGGGGTACCTTAGCCGCGATGGCGCGAACGGCGAGGAGTATGTTGGCCGCCAGGCTCGCGCGGAGCCCCCCCCACCCGGCCCTTAGGTCCCCCGCTGTCGGGGTGGCCGCTAGCGCGAGGCCAAGGGCTAGCAGCAGGGTGGGCACCGATGCCAATCCCGGTCGCTGCATGCCCACGTTCAGGCTGCAAGACGAGACAAGGGAGGGGAATCAAGAGGGCAAGGGAGGGCCACAAGCAAGAGGTGGGGCGCATTAATCTCGAAATGCTCCAAACGCCGGAATAGAAGCTGAGACAAAGTCGTTAGACTAGCCAGCGGAATTTTTTCCTCGAATCACTCCTTTCCTGTAGGGCAAGGATCAAGTCGGGCTTCGCATGAGACCAGCTAGGGGAAGCGTCGGCGGGCGGCGGGTTGAGGACATCTTCGGGAGATCGTTTCGACCGTTCGCGATGGCGAGGGAGTTCCGAGACATCAGAAGGCGTGGAAAAGAGACTGCTGCTGCATACACCCGCTGTTTGGACTGCGTTGTGGATACTGCTTCGCCACTGCTAGACGTTGCGCTTTTGTGAGGGTGGGATGCTGTCAACTGACGAGGGGATAGTGTAGAGAGGACTGTTCATTCCCAACTTTACTTTTATATAACTGTATCGCTAAAACACTCGCCGCGGTGGCAAAGCAGCCTCGCGCGTGAGCGAAATTGGTGTGGAGGACGACAAAATCAGGAACTGTTCGACCATCCACCATTTCCTCTTGCTACTCCCGCACCGTAGGTTCGCTCGGCTGGCTTGACGATGCGGCGCGACCGGTCGTCTTGCTGCTCTAACCCTAATCCTACGTAGCGATGGTGGCATCGCCTACCCTGGGGGATACTACCGCCATGCCTATCGCGCACGCCGCACGGCGGTACCGTTTCACGACCACAGCCGTGCCGCACCGGTAACCGCCAGAAGGCAGCGAGCCGCAACATCTATTCTGCACGGCAACTATGCCCTCTCGCCGCCTACGAGCAATCTGCGCTTGTCTTTGGTTGCGGCGGTTTATTGCCGTCTTCCTCGGTCGTCCCGGCTCCTCCCACAACTCAAGCAGCTCCGCCACCGAACCCACCTCAAGAGGCAGAAGCACGCTGCTTCGGTGGAGCGCAGAACTTCCGCCGCTGCCGCACCGATGACGCCGTAGCCGTGGTACTCCAGCCCGGTCCCCGCCAGGTGCGCCGCTGCGAACACCAACAGGAACTTGTTCCGCCGCGTCTGCCGAAGCCGTCATAACAGAGGTAGAGAGTGGGCAAAAACAACGATGTAGGAGCACCGTATTCAAGCCAATATTAAAGCAAGATGGGGAACTCAGGCCAGCAGAGGGGAGCATTGGGTACGGTTATCGACCAAGAGATGGTGTAGAGGACGGACAGACAAGGCGCGATGATGTGTCTCGGGCGTAGGCAACGAGACAAAAATGGCGAACCGCGGAGTTTCGTTGATTCCTGAACGGGCCTCGAGGGGGCCAACAACGAGGCACACAAAACAAGCGAAGGGGGCGAAGCAGATCAAACGTGCAGATGCTTAACAAGTAACGGCGGTCGTGTGCGTGTCTTGATGCACCTGTCACTAGGCTTGGGGAGGCCGGGGGTACTCCACGAAAACCACTCCTACAAGACAAACTAAAGGACAACGACAGCAGCAACAGCAGACCAACAACAACAACACAAGCTGTTCAATCTGCTACAACACCAACACCAACACCAAACAAACAAACAACAAAAATAACCCACCCGCTCCCCGTCGCTCAGCGCTCTAACTTCCGGCCGCCTAAAACGCCTCCAGAACCTGGACATCAAAAACCCGAACCCGAGAGCCGCCAGGGTCTGCCACGCGCTCACGGTCACCACAGACACTCCCTTACCCCACCCGGCCACCGCGGCTCCTCCGCCGCCCCCCTCCCCTCCATTGGCGCCGCCCCCCCACGACACCGCCGTGGGCACGCGCTCGTAGTACTCGACCTTGAAGCCAATGCCACCGTCTGAAAGATGGTCGTCTTCGTCTTCGAGCAGCGCGGTGTTGTCGGCGGCGGCGGCGCCAGCGGCGCCGCCCGTGGTGACTATCTCGGCAGGTACGTCGCGTCCGGACGTTCCGATCAAGCTCGCTCCTCCCGCCGAAGCGCTGGAGGGGTGGCGACGGGGGATTGACAGTCTCGTCCGCTGTCCCGCCAGGGCCTCCACCGAGGCGTTGTAGAGGGCGTACGTTATCAGGGAGGCGAGGATCAGGGTTGCGATCGTGCCAGCGCTTGCGCTTCCCCTCCCGTTGCCGCCGCCGCCGCCGCCGCTTGGCTGCGGTTGCTGCTGCTGTGGTTGTTGTTGCTGCTGGCGGCAAGTTTCGAACTGCTGCGTTGCTAGTGGTGGTGGTGATGGTATTGATCCTCTGTATCCGCCTCGTCCTTGTCTCCGACGGCCTCCCGCCTGAGGCTGCTGCGACGGCGGCTGCTGACCGGGCGCAAGGGAAAGCTGCTGGTCCTCAGCCGGGTGGAGCTCGGTCAACGAGGAGGGAGGGGCGCGCGCTGGGGCCGCCGCCGTCACCGCCGCCGCCGTCGTGTTCGACGGCGGCAGCGAATAGGACGCGGGTTTCACTACCCAGGCGGCGTTCGTTGCAAACGGCCGTGTCGCCGTCGCGGGAAGGTGATGGCCACCGCCGCCGACCCCTGCTGTAGCCGGGTAGTAGAACTGATGCGGCTGCTGCTCCGCCCCCGTACTTGACGAGTGCGCGCCCACGGACACGGCAGGAGGAGGGTCAAGGTGCCGCCGGTCTGCCACCGTGGTGTTGGGGGATCTCCGGCTGCTGCTACCGGAACCCCCGCCAGTCGCGCCGCCGGCCTGGTTTGGCGGCCGCTTCCGCCAGCGGTTGGTGGATGAACTCAGCATCATGTCTGCCTCATGCTGCATGACGGCGCCCTATTGCTACTGTTTTCCGCGTGGTGGTATGTGGGATAGCCTGGACACGTAGTTCCGGAGGGAAGGCGTGAGCGCAAGGTCAAACAAGAAGCCGCACGTGAAGGTTTGAAAACACACATTTTTCGCGAAAACCCAAAGTCTATAATAGTATCTCTCGCGGTGCAAATTGTAAGGAAGATTGAAGGGACATATTTTTCGTGCGAACCCAATTCTAGTATGTACGTCTTGTCGCGGCTCCAAGCAGTAGGGGACCGAAATTTACAGGCTAGCGTTACACGTTGTTGGTACGAGGAAGTAGGCTCGTGCGCTTGCTGCGACCCCTTGACATGTTCACGCCATCAGATGCATGATATACTACTTGTATGGATAGGTTCGACAGCTCGCCCGGACGTTTTTTTTTATTTGAGGTGCTGATGTTTCCGACCCCCTGCGATTGCAATGCACCAGAAAGAGTGGCGATGCCGGAAATGGCGGCGTTGGAACCATCTCGTCGAGATTCCGAAAAGCAAACATTTGAGGTTGGCATCCTCTTCGGGAGTATTCGAGCGTCGAAAATCGGTCAACCGGGGGGGTGGTATATTGTGCCACCTACTTGGTAAGCTTTTCGGCGTTGAATGTACAGTATCATAAGCAGTCCAGATTTCTCCTAAATTATTACTGCCGCACTTCCAACGAAACTCGAACCCTCAATTTCTTACCAACTACAGTATTTTGTAAGCGGTGGCAATCTGTAGAACGGCGAGAGGCACCGGGAAGAACATATTCCACACTCCGTGCGGCGGGCGGCGGGAAGCCTCGAAACAAGCTGCTGCTGCTGCGTGCCATCATCCCCTTGCCGTTCAGAGTGCGAATGTACAAGTTGTAGTAAAACCTTGAGCATCAGCTACGCTCCTCCGGTCACAGCAAAGGCCTGTCGCAGCTCTCGAGCAGCATTGTAAGAGTCCGACCCACTGCCTACTGCTGTACTAGCAATGTACCTTCGTATGCATATACGGAAACCACCACGCCCAGCACGCAGCTGGCTCTCTGTGCTTGTCAAGTTGTAGAGTTGAAGTACAACCGCCATGGTGCTCCAGCCCAAAACTCGTTTGGTTGGAACTATTCGGTCACAGCTTTGAGATATTATCGACAGATCGGGCACTTAGACACGCCGGCGTCCACGACGCAACCAGGCAAGCGCGAATGGGGAGCAACGGCAGCGGCGGAGAGGGAGAAGCGCCATCGTCATCCCGACTACCCTCTACACAAACGTACATACACAGCAGTACTCCAATCTCCGCTTGGGCGGCGGGGTGCAAATCTCCGCTTTTTCGGCGAGCCTACAAGGCCTCTCACCTCTCGACGACCGCTTCTTCAACGCTTTCCCGAAGGGTTGGTGAGCCTTGGCCGTTCGCCACCCTGAGACAGAGACAGAGACAGAGACAGAGACAGCGGGGGAAACACACCAAGGTCTGTCCCCAAACACGACGCAGAAGATTGCAGAGACAGAGTCGTTGAAATCTGAGTTTTGTGAGGAGTGGAAGATAAAATATCTGTTGGCCAATCAGAGAGCAGCAGATCTTTCTTCCCCTCGCTGCCTCGGGAAGGTTTTGCGTAGGCATGACTCATAGCGAGGGGGGAGGTCTTTCTAGCGAGCAGGGCTAGACTCACCCTCAAGGGACCGATACCTTCTTGCTGCGGTGCACCCGCCGCGAGGCGTGTGTATTGGTGGAGTTGGGTCGGCACTGGTGCGTCAGGTACGAAGGTGCAGATGCGCGGGCCTCCAGGCCGTCGGTGTATGCAGCAAAATGCCCATCTCATCTTTGTGCGCGGAGGCAGACGTCATCAGAAAGGTGGACGGGCACTATGTANTGTATTGGTGGAGTTGGGTCGGCACTGGTGCGTCAGGTACGAAGGTGCAGATGCGCGGGCCTCCAGGCCGTCGGTGTATGCAGCAAAATGCCCATCTCATCTTTGTGCGCGGAGGCAGACGTCATCAGAAAGGTGGACGGGCACTATGTACACGGCCCTAGGTTTGCTAGAGGGAGCTGTACTGTCTCAGTAACCTGATTTTGCCATAAAAGGAGGAGGGGACAGGTGGTGACGAGCTGATTGGGCTGGTTGACTACTCGGCGCGAGAATTTTCAGACCAAGAACCCAAAGTGCAACGAGGGAGAAAGCGAGAAACCGACGGGGAAGGACAGCAACGAGAGCGTGTACGAAGCGGAGCGGGTCGAGTTTGGTCGTGCTAGGACTGGCCACAGCGGAACCGGAGCAGCGGAACCGGAGCAGCGGAACCGGAGCAGGCGGACGGCATCGAACCGTGGCGCACGGACAAACATATGTTGTGTTGTCAATTATTTTCCCGTTTAGACTAATTCCTGAATACACGTGTTGGGTGTGTGTGATGACGTCATTGGTTTTGTAGAGAGACGCGGCAGAGATGGCGCGGATAACCCGGGTGCCTCAATTGCGTACCTGCATCGTGGAAGACCCCTTCAATGTGGAACGATTCCTAGTCACTGTCGATGTTTACACTGCTGTGCCAAACACAGATGATCTGGATAGATTCATGTCAATTGCAATGATGGCTTTGGTTGGGTGTTCTTCTTCATGGTATGTCCACGGACTCTGACAGCACTTCAGACAGCNAGATGATTGTCAATTGCAATGATGGCTTTGGTTGGTAGTTCTTCTTCATTGTATGTCCACGGACCCATTCTGACAGCACTTCAGACAGCAGCTGCATGCCCCGAGCTTGTGTACCATGCACCATGGTGTTATTATTGTACAGACAGCACTTCAGACAGCAGTACGCTGNATTTAGATCTTGTGATGACTCTAGCATTTTTGTGACCACGGACCGAGTCTTTGCTAGATTTTGGGATTAGCAACTGACACGAATTAAATGTGAACAAAAACAAGAAAAAACAACAGCAACAAGCATGGAGTCAGCATGAAGTGTCTGAAACCTGACCAGAAGAGTAGACTTGGGAGCACTTGTTGGTCTGCCCCAAGGAAGCACGAGGGAGGCTGCTGCAGCCAAG